AAAGTATATTCCACTGCGTGTCCTAATTCCCCGCCTTCAAAACCCTATAATCACAATTTTCGTAGGAAAACATGCAGGGAGTAGGGATTAATGAGTGGGCCTAGATAAGCTACTGTTGCCGAAAAACCTTCTATTAAAGACGGAGGCAGTAAAGTGACCATTTTCGCTTTATTGGCCGTCATCATCTAATGATGCAATCGACGCAGATACGGATGCGCTCAAGACTAGAATCAGAACCAGGCGCTCACCGAGCAGTGTTCGGGCCACTGCATTATAGACTTATGGCATTCGAAATAGGGAATATATTCAGTTACTGGGAGCTGGTGCCCACCGATTTGTGCCAGTAACGATTCACGAGTTTTTATTAGTGCTGTCGCATACCAGAAAAAATACGCATTGTTCTGAGTTCTATGTGCGCAAGGAAATCTTTTCTGCTAACAAGGAACACATAGAGTTGGTATCAGAGGTCAAGCCACGTCATCGCTTAGGAGTTTAGAAACAACACTGAGCTTGAGAAATAGTGCTAGCATCTGCGAAGTGGACATCGCTGCGAGGTCTTAATGGGACCATTTGACGACGTGCTGTAAATCATGTTGGGTACTTTAAGACAAATCCTGTTTGTTAAATCGTCGTGCTTTTGGTTAGAAGTTGGATCTCTGTCAGTGAACAGAAGTAGACAGAGCACAGTAACCTTAATTGACTTGCAGTCGACAGCCCTCCATTCTACATTAAGGTCTTGTACGTCTGATACTTTAAAAATAATTAAGCGTTTAAAGATGAATCGGAATCTGCTGCTAATAATTCGGCGTTCAGCATTCATAAGAGAGCACTTTTGCAGTTATAAGGAATAATAAGAGAATAAAAGTATTTCTATGCATTGTTCCAGATTCCGTTAACTTTCTCCTTTGATTCTCCCGTATTAGTTGCCTCTCGAAAATGTACTAACAAAACAGAGCAAAATGCGAGTCAGAAAATGGGACTCTAGACCTGCAGATTCCTTCATATAGTAGTAAAAGATAAGGACATCCAGAGATAGAAAAGTCTAGAAGATAACACTAAAAGAGTTTATTTCATACAGTGGTCTTATTCCCATTTGCCAACTGTTTTCTACTTTTCGTGTTTAGGTATTTGAACACCGATATTAAGCAGCTAAGCTCTGTTTCCCATCTAACGCCAAAGTCTGATTAGCATTTCACAAGTCATCCTATGTTCAAATGTTTCGAAGGTGAAATCTACTTCTGTCAATTACAACCGTGTACTTACGCGGCCCTTCATTGACTCGATTCCAAATACAGTCCGACCAGTTTTCATTGGAGTGATTAAGAAAACAGTAGATTGCACCTTAATATCATCTGAAGTCAGTGGAACTGATGCCCAATTTTCAGAGCATCTGAGTTTTCGCCAGGTGAAAACATCCACGTCTTAGGTTGAATACCATAAAAGAACAGAGCATGCCTGTAGGTCAAATGCCTACATAGTACTCTTCAAAGCCCTTATCTTACAGGCATCACCAAATATCTCCTTTTGCCATGGTTAAACAGAAAGACGGAATATATAAGCGGTCATGTAAATAGAATTTTCGGTAGACTGTCTTTATAGGGTCTATTTTCCTTTGACTTATAATAATAACCTACTTTTACATATGCGGTAACCCGACTTTCGTCAAATTCCGCCAATATAACATCGAATTTCATTTTTCGTTACATTCCGCCAATATAAAGTCGATTCCCCATGAATAAGCACCAGTTGCCTGGACAGCATGAGTTTATCTTGATGGAGTTGATTCTATTTAACTCACTGCAACAACTATGAGTGGCTTTAATTCAATATTCCTTAAGCAACACAATTAAATACTCATTTTCACTCATTAACCAAGAATTAAATGTTTAATCACCAATTCCGTAGGACAGTCCGCCAGCGGCCCTACAAGACAGTTTTGTCGAATTTTCAACTCACCCTGAGTACAGCTGTCCATGGGTGATGTGGTCGCGCTGGGTGAAGCCACCTCCGGCTGATAGCCCACCCTGCAGGTGCAAGTGAAGCTCTCGGTCGCGGTCCAGGGATTACGGCAGACGCCATAGGGGCCACATTTACGGTCACCGCAGGCAAGTGCACAGGCCGTGCAGCCTCGAATATGCGGCTTGCTGACCGTCGCCTCGGTCACATCCACCAACTAGTACACGAGAGGATGAAAAGGAAAACCAAGAGGCTTTAAGCGCAGCACATGAAACGAAGGCGGATAATTTGGCGGATTTCCGTTTTCCTTTATACAAAAACGACGGGTTAACCCGTCTTACTGCATTTTCAACAAATCTCATATTTTATGCCATTGTCTTATACCTTACGTATTACCTTTTTTCAGGAGATAAATTAACCAACAAAAGTTTGTTTTCGATAAAGTCTCGTCAGGCCTGTAGATTTATATTATAATTAATTAAATAAACGATGCGAGCTAACAGAATAAAAATGCGGTCGTCAGGGGAGGGGGGAAGGTAATCGGGGTCAAAAAATCTGATCAGCGTTAAGAGGGACTGGTAGACGTGAGAGGTGATCAGCTGCGGGCTGTTGAAATAGCGACTTTCGGCCATGGTAACTGCGGCGCCGTTATTTTTTTTATTGTAAAGTTGTTTCGCCTTTCAGTGCCTTATATATCCTCATACAACACAATAAAGAAACGAATTATGCAACGCGATCAACTTGAAAATGTCATGCTCTTTTATGATACTAGCTAATGAAGTGCTGCGAACTATGCAAATCCATAAGAACAGACGCGAAAAGAAAAAAATTTAAGTTAACAGTTTGGCGGACTTCCTTTTTTGAAAAAGTAATCCCAGTTGACCTATTTTACTGACTTTTCAACAAATTTGAAAATTTAACCCTTCGCAAAAATGGGATTTATTAATGCTCTACTTTAAAGATGTTTCATTTTCTAGTGTTTACCATCCTGATAGAGCAAACAAAAGAACAACCTACGCCAACTGATTAATTTACAGAATTTCATACTCTTGTGGTACTACACAAGCGGTTTGATTAGTTTTTGAAACCTCTTCTACGAGCACTTCCAGTGTTTACGAAATTATCGGCCGAAACAACATCGCCACGTCGCCATATCGCCATAGCGTGCCTTGTTTTGGTCATAATTCCGGCGATTCAGCCGTTCCTTTCTAAACAACAATGCTCAGCGAAAATTAGTTAAAATATGAGAAATACGCAAAGCAATGGGTCTGCCACAAACAGAGAATTCACCCAGAGGTAAATAGTAGAAGGAAAAAGGGATGTGGCGTACATCTGAGTTCACGACGATGTTATCTAGAGCCAGTTCACGCAAACGGTTCCCATCGTTCAACTTGCCACCAACCGCTAGCTGACCAAAAATCAGCTGAGACGGCAGGACCGATTCTAGCATCATGTGTTGTCCGCAGTTTCGCCTGCCCGCACAGAAGTCGAGGATGATGGAGGCGTTTAGTTGACTGTCCTGCAGAAAGTAATAAAATAAAAGGCAATGTTATTTCGGGCGGAACCAGTTTGGAATTCTCCACGTCCCTTCTCCAGCTAAACTCTCCTCCGACCTACAACTGATTTTTTTTACCTCTAACGAAGGCTGCTCTTTCCACCCTCGAACGTTGGCCGCCCCCCCCCTTACTCGACTGCACATGACTGAATACTCTCCTCCCTGGTTTAGGCTCAGTTTTCCCATTTCCACATGGAGATCAAATCCCGGCCTGTGTTGGAGTGCCAGCTGTCTGTCCCCCTCCCCCTTTTTTGACCCGGTTAATCCGAGAACCATTTGTCCACCACCCCCGTAGACCGTTGACACTTTCATGTTGTCTCTGTTCACGAACCCTCTCCCCCTGTTTGTGTTGGTGTTTCATACCAATCCTGATGTCTCGTGAAATCATATAAAAGCGGAGCCACCCCCTCTCACACTAACATACAAGCTTTTCCAAGACTAGTTTCGTTCTGCGTGGCGTTATTGTTGAATTTGTGTCGTTTCCTTATATAGAGTCAGGCGATTTGGCCGACTCCCTTCGCTCTTCACTTAGTGTGTCCGTTGTTGAGGTTTGTACACTATTTACCCTTTACTATTTTTGCTTACTAGGACCGTACCACATTGGTAGTTGTTATCACTAATTTTCACGTACGCGTGGCTGCTGGATTCTTTCGAAGAAGTCAAGAAGGCGAAACAGGCGAAGACCGAACCTTATTACCGCGGAGGAATCAGAGGAGGCCTGCTAATTTTCTATAGCCACGGTCCAGTATTTGTACGAACTGAATATCAAATAGGACCACGAGAAAATAATAAGGTCCACACAGGACATGAGGTGCAGCAGAGGATATTCTCACACTGATAGCGAATAACCAGTGAACAATATTTCTAAAGTATGCTTTCGTACGTATGGCCGACCCAGTAAAAGGCAGAAGGGGTGAGTGACATAAATAAGAACCTTTACTCAGTATATAGGAGGCCGAAAATTTTCAAACCATATGACAAAAGGTATCTGTGTAAAATCGCCTTGGTTAAGAAAGTGGACTTTTTTGGATAATCCCTTAGGACCATGTTCTCTGAGACGACAGTTCGCTAGCCGTTTCCGACTGTATTCACCATGTTTCGCGTAAATTTGCTTAAAAGTACAGTAGCATTGCGTTGCTTCCTCCACATTTGCTCATTCCTCGCCCACCTGGGCCCGAGGTCAAGACCCAAGAAGACCAGCGGCGGGATTGGAGTAAAAAACGCAGGCCGCGAGATCGTGTCTAATTCTAAATCATGCTTGAAACAAAGTTAATTAAGCGTGACTTTCTGAACTTATTCTTTGTTTTATGAGAATGTATTATCAACCAAGCTTTTAAAGATGGACGAATGAAAAACCAGACCATTTTCACCTTCTCTCAGAACTCGTTGCAACCAGGATCGCAGTCCCATAAGCCGCTTTCAGAAAACATCGATATTTTACTCGACTTGTCTTACAGTGGAATTTTGAAAACAACTATAGTGGACTATTTTTATAACAGATCATTGAGGTCCCTATAACAAACACTCTCGCAATCAAGAAAGCAAATTTTCGATGGATATGTGAAAGGCTTTTTGTCTATAATTATGTTTCCATATCCATTGGACTTATTAGGGACCGCCTGTAGATCTCCATTTACTGTACATTGTCTGTTCCACAAAAATAACATCAGCAGACGCTAAAAGGCGACAATGAAACTGACTGAGAGATAAGTTGTCTTTTCTCTTGTAAAATGGAGGAAAAAGCTACTAATTTTGTAAACCACTGTTCCGTAGAAATCATTCCGATAATTAAACTGACATAAGAAAAATCCGAATATTCGTTTAAATATCCAATGCTTTAAGTACGTTCGAAATATTTAATAGGTAAAGTCCTCGAGCTCTACATAGACGTGCACTTATTTCATGGATTGGCTAATATATTACTAAAAACTGCATATGAATAAGCAATTTTTTAGAAAACAACACAGAGGTTAGCTGCAAATACGGTTGGTCATTAAGGAATGAAGAGGAATGTAAAAACATTTTGCGAGTCCCTTAGATATTACGGTGTATGCATTTGAATAATCCCCAGTAACAGTGGAAGAAGACAGAGATAACTATGCTCAGGTAAAAGCACATCGTAGGACAAGATCTATTTTGAAATATTCATTGACTTGCGCCGTGGTTTTAGTCGCACGCCGAGTATTCACTAACGTAGGACATTGCGATTTAATGTATATAAAAATAACAACTTTCCTCCGCTTGGACTGCTATAGTAAAAAGCTTCTTTCCTATAAACTGGAAGGCAGGCATCCCAATAAAGTTAACTTCAAAGAAATGCATCCTTTCCTTTCCTAATTTTCCCAGAGGACGCCTTTCTTTGAAACGTTTCTGACTAGCATGTATTCGTTTCCCCAAATTATGTTGAATTATTAGGAGGTTTGACAGATTTGCTTATATAGAGTTGACCCAATTGTGAAAAAAACTCGAGGCATTCGGCGGTATTTGAACCCGCGCGC